CGGTAAAGTGACAAAGACAGAAATATCGTTGCGTACAGCGTTGCCACTAGTTGTAATAAATATCTAACACTATACAGAAAATAATGAATTTTAACTGATCAGTAATCAGGAAATGTATAAGTATTACTCATTACAAGCTCATTACTGATTTTTGTCATAAATAATACCTTTTAATCGTACTAGTATTGTGTATTATCTATAATTTGCCACAACCTACAACTCTACTGCTTACTATATTTTGATTCTGCTATAAACTGGTAACGTAAAATTTAGATATGACAACGCGCTTTACTCTCAATCATTATTGGTTTTACTATAGTTCGGTCTTTACCACGAAACTAGAATGACTAGTTTAGAAATGGAACCATAGGAATGTAGAACTAGACACTTTTCTTGAGCACATCAACATCGTAAAACCTTCCATTACCTTCACAAAGGAGAAGGAAGTCCACAACGAATTGCCATTCTTAGACGTTTTGGTGAAGAGGACCGACACTAAATGGGAAACATCTGTATACCGAAAACCCACTCAAACGGGACAGTATCTGAACCACGAATCCAACTACCACGAATCATCAAGACTCTATCAGACCGTGCGACTGCGACTGAAAACACCTGCACCAGAACCAGAAGGTGTTTTTGATCCATCTGTGAACCAACAACTATCTGCTCTTGATATTTCCATCTCCCGGAAGATCCAGTCCTCTCTACTCGGGAACAGTACTTTATAAGGCAGTTCGTAGTTGACCGTTGAAGACATAAAGTCAGAGGTCATTTCCAGAATGCTGTGACTTCCAGTGTCAACCAAGAGTCTGTTGCACTCTGCATTGAAATGATTTGTGCAATTGGCAATGTGTAAAAGTCTGCATGCAGTCCATCTAGCCTCTCTCTCCAGAAAAATGTGGAGAGGAGGTAGATCTAGAAGAATATCTATGGCCGCTGACGGTGTGGTACTGTTGGCACCACTGATGGCCAGACAAGCCTGTCTCTGTAAGCCAAAGAGCTTCGCTTGAGCCGTTTTCTGTAAAGCCTTCGGCCACCAGGCAATTGCACCATAAGTGATCATTGGTCTGACAATCAACACATAAATCCAATGGATTTGTTTGGGATCTGAACCCCAAGTTTTACCACAAATCCTTCGACATGTCCCTAGGGACAGTCTGGCTTTGTGTAAAACGTTTTCCCAGTGAGCGTTCCAGGTGAGTTTTTTTATCAAGGACAATGCCAAGATATTTCACCTCCGTTCCAAATGGAATGACCTCACCATTGGGGAAAAGTGGCGTTAGATCGTCCAATTTTCTCCTCCTGGTGAAGGGGATTATCACAGTTTTGCTGGAGTTGACAGACATCTGCTCCCTCAGGCACCAACTGTGAACAACCTAACCTTTGGAGGATATTACAAGCTACCCTTCCCGATGTGGACCTTGCTGAGATGACAAGGTCATCTGGTTTGAAAAAAAGTTCAAAGGAGCTGCATGTATGTTGTTCCACGACGCATTCATCCAAGCTAGCGTAGAGATACGCGATATATGGAAACCTGTAATCAAGCGGGAGAACGGTTTACTCCCGCTAAACCGGTGAGGCGAAGAAAGGGAAGAGGGGATAAATAAAAGCGTTCAAATAACCTATAAAGTCACCTCTCGAAGGAATTAGTCCAGTCATCACCCGAGGACGATTGAGGATAGTAACAATCGAAACGTCACTTCGTGAAATGTCCTTTCAATTGTCTGCTTACTTTTATTATTTTCATTCTGTGGTAATTTTCATCTTTCATCTTGATCATTTCATTTGTTTCAAGCAAACCCTATACATTTTTCTGCACCACAATGGTCGGATTTCGTGAGATTCTTTATATCTGATGTGTTATTGTTGATGCCCTACAACATTTATAATTCTTTTTACATTTCAGTGTGTAAAAGTGTTGGGCCAGTATAAAGGGGTGTGCAAAGATGAAGTTGTGGGTGGTCAAGACAGTAACCAACTGAACACAGCAGTAAGAGAAAATGGAATCAATATCGTTACGTACAGGAGGTCGCTGATTTCTTGTAAGTTTCATAAATTGACAGACAATCTGTCTTTATGACTACAATGTATGTTTTTCACTACCTATAGTCCGTTCATAATTTGTCGATAGCACAAAATGAGGGCCCAAGTCATAAAACGGTCGTAAAACTCGTAAAATCATAGGCGGAGGTTCCTGAGGTGTTTATTCATTAAATATAAAGCTTC